GCAAGGTAGATCATTGCTCCAAGTGCTTTTGTGCTCACTCTCTCCTGACCCCAAAGAAGCTGGTTTGGAGCTGCAGTAAAGCTGCAGCAGAGCCGTTCCCAGCCCATTTGTGTGGTCGGGTCATTTGTAGCAGGAACTGACTCATCACATCCCATCCCACTGCTGATGGGATTTCTTCGCTTTCTCCAGTGGGGCTACTCCTTTCAGAGCCTGGCTGTTCAAGCACAGCTTTTCAGCTCCCTTGAAACAAAATTCAGCCTGTGCTACTGCTTATTTCTTATTGGCTCTGAAATGTGGAAGGTTGTCACTGGCTGAACATCCACATCTGCTTTTTCGATGTCCCTGCCACACTTCGAGGTGAGAACTGCTTCTAGAGGGGCTGGTGAATTAGAAATAGAGCCAGTGTTGATGGTGATGGTTCAGGGACTGCCTTCCTGTTTCAGAACTAGGAGGAGAAGGCTAGAAGCAAAGGCATTTAAAACAACAGGACCAGCACTGTGCTGCAGAGGGTGATTATCAGCTCCAGTGTGGCTCCTCAGTGGATGCTGTACCCCTGCCGAAAACATTAGTTCTGGCCCTACTTTCAGTGTGCCAGAATGCCTCCCCACCCTTCCTTACTTTTAATCATTACTGTATTTGCCTGACACAGGCCTGCCTTGGAGAGGAGCTGATGTTAAAGGTGTGAACATTTATTTGAGAGAGAAAGTTGGTTTTCCTCCTGTTTCCTCCTCCTTTCTTTCCAAAAAGATTGTGAAAGCCCCAGGCTTGTCTTGTCCAGGCTCCGTGTACAATCCGTGCACCCAGTGTCCTCCCTCCAGAAGTGCATTCCAGATGAATTGGTGTTCCTTGGGGAAGGAACATGTGCACCCAGAGGAGTCCATGTGCCACACAGCATATGCTGTGCAGCAGTCTGGTGAAAATGGCAGGCGGTGGCATGCTGGGATCACTGATGTGGCTGAGAGGAGGACAGCACTTAGGCTGAGTTGTCACACCCTGCCACTCGGATGTGGCATCACCTCTGAACATCACCTCCTTGTTAGCAGCTGGACCAGTCGGTCCATGGTGGATCGGAGCTCTTGCTCCCATGAAGCAAAACGCTGATGTGCTTTTCTTCCTTGGGACGAAACAGAGTTTTTTTTCTCCATGGATTTGCTAAAAAATGAAGAGCATCTCAAGGTTTTTAAGGCATCTGAAACAGCACATGCTGAGACCGAGGTTTCCACTTGCAGCCTAGTTGCTGGCCCTGCTCTGTTTTTTGCTGGAAGTTGCAGCCATTCCTCAACTATACATTGCTGTGTAGAGTTTCAGTTTTGGTGAAACCTGGGATGGGAGGCAGGGGGGAGTAAGTGAATCTAGAATATTCTAGAACAGATCAGGTGTGCTAAAGTGCCGTACATGGCAAGATTGAGATATGCTGACATTGGGAGCTAAATCACTGTAGAACTATCAATAATGGAATAAATGAAGAAAACAGTATAAAATGTTTCAGGCTCTGCTTAACTGTTATGGGAAAGCTTTATGGAGCTTACAGTGTGCCCGTGTCTCATCCAGGAGTGTGGAGTGGTGACTGCTGTTGTTAGAAAGCATTGAATTTACCACAGCAGCTGTTTATTGAATTGCTGTGATTTCTGCTGGATATGGTGGTCACATCCTCTGTGCGTTCCCTGCAAACACACAGGTGCTTTGACAGAAGGAGCAAGGATGCAGCAAGAGTGTATTGCTGGGGACGGAAATATGAAGGTCTAAGGACCTGGTTTCTGGCCACAGCTGATGTGCTATGAGACCGGAGAGGTATGGGGATTTTTGTAGCCTGCTTTCCGTTTGCTGATAGCAGAGATTAATATAAGTATCCCTGGATAAAAATCAGGAGCCATTGCTGTACAGGCAATTACTAGTAATATCACTACAGTCGCTTTTGGCCTTGAGTCTAGGATTAGGTGGAATGTAATCTGTTACATTTTTCAGGCTGCTTTTGTTGGAGTTTTCTCATTATTATATGATGAAGAGTAAAGCTGCATGAAAAATCCGTGTACAGTCTTGCTCTGCATCACAAAGCCCTTTCTTGGCTCTGTTTTGATGGTAATGCTGCTGTGGATTCTTTATGTGTAGAAACTGTAGACTGCAGAAGAGAGACCTGTATGTAGGCTTGGTTGCTCCTAGCTCTTGATTAGAGTTCATTATATAAGCACCTTACAGGGGGAGGGAAGTATTGCTGAGTTCAACAACTGGGTAAACTGAGGCACAGATGGAAAATGGTGCACCTTGAGAGTCTTGAAAATAAGAAGAGAGGTCAGCCTTTCGCCTGAGTAACATCCTTTGGACCCCATTAAAACGTCTCTTCCTGAAGACAGCCTACATAGTCATGCACAGGGCATCTGCATTTCCTAATCCCTCAGTGGTGTGAGCGCTGAGGCTTCTCACCACCTAAAACACTTGAGAACTGAAGTCTCACTTTAATGTTAAGAATCTGTCATTTCCCCTGAACGAGAGGCTTATGTTACAGTCAACATATATGGATGATGTGACAGCCTTTTTGTACTTACTAAGTAATAAGCTAATCAACTGTCAGATTAACTGTTGGAATAACTGAAGGACGCATCCCTTATTCTTTGATACGTGTACGGGGACCACCAGTCGGGATGAAGTTTTAAATAAGGGAGGTTGGAAGATAAGGTTTCTTGTGAAGCCCTGTTGGCTAGTTTTTGGTGAGCAGGGTAAAAAGCGCACTCTCCTCCTTGCAGGGTGTTCCTCCTTCTCTCCCAGCCACTGCTCTGAGAGGCAGAACAGAAGCTGGGAGCTGCCGTACTGTTTATTTCACTAAGTGCCAGATGCTGGCACTTCCGTTCTTTCTAAACTTGTGGTGGTTTGTGGTAACGTTGACTCTCGTTAGTGCACTGGTTCCTAGCAGGGTGCAGATGTTTCTTGTCAGCTTTGGCCATCTTTCAGGGCTATAAATACTGCCTTTAATAAAGAGCAGTGGTGAAAGAGGACTGTGATTTATGAGCGAGGCTCTGTGAGTTGGCATGGCTTTTGAAGCGGCATTTGTACGTGAAAGGCTGTTGTAGATGGCGTTAGCTCACCTGGTTATCCCTTGCTTTTGTGAATTGTTAGAGCTGGGAATTTGGAACCAGTTGTGCCTGATTTCAGTGGACAAGGCCTTGACTGGGGCATGTGTCAGAGGACTCTGGAATTTGCTTTCTTCACAGGTTTGGTGCAGACCAAATTTAGAGAATTTCAGACATTGGCTGGTGATTTTGGAAAGGGCTGAGGAGTCATTTTCCACAACCACAGTGTCGGGAGGGGCTTTTTTTCTTTCTAGGATAGCCGATGGTCAGTGATGTTAATGCTGTTGGAATTGTATTTACAGTATTAATTCCCTGCTCAGAGCACTGAGACTGACCCCCTTTCGTTAAAGCACCTTTTTATTTACACTAAAGCAAATGCAAAATTAAATCCCCAGTACTTGCAAAACAAGCTAGATTTCTGTTTTCCCTGATACTTGATAAAAAAAGTTTTACCCACAGTGTGGATGTGTGATATTTATAATGTTCTAGCAGCACTGGAAGGATGGAAACAGATAAAATGTTCCTTTCCGTAGGAGCACTGCATACCTCCTTCTCTTAAACCATGGATGGGAAGAAAGGTAGGACACAGGTCGATGATTAGTGTGGAAGGAGGCATGCAGAATGCCAAATATTTTTATTTTAAGCTCACTTTATATGAAAATCTCATCTTTAAAGGGTTAATAAGTGGCTAGCAGATATTTGAGTAAATGGCTATATAATCGTTACTGGAGCACAGCGATAGTTGTTTTAACCATGGCTTGTTAACTCTGAAGATTACAGTGGTGTATGAAGCTGTGGTATGTTGTTTAAAGTGCTATGTATTTAAAGTCATCTTTAACTCATTCCACTCATATCTGCCCTGTGCATGACCCCTGCTGATCATTCATTAGCCCTGTGTAAATGGGGTTTTAGTAGAAAGAATTTCCATGTAGTATTTTTAAAAAATAAAAATGCTGTCCAGTGCACACACACAGTGCTGAGATTTTTGCAAGAACTTTCATGCCAGTGTCAGAGAGAAGTTTTTCTAAAGTTAAAAGCCTGCCTGTATGCAGGGATGTGTATGTGGGGGTGTGCTTTTTGGTGTGGCGGGCTCTTGCCTCTTTGATGGGAGAAGGAAAGCTCACCAGAGCTTTCCTGCTATAGTAGTGGTGGGAGGAATCTATAAATGCATGATTTATCTAAAGTGCCCTGGGATTACCATGCTGAACATCCTGGCTTTGAGCAGCTGATGAGGGAAATAATTGCCACCAGGAGGGAGCAGGAGGAAAACAGGGAGTTCTCCGGGTGCTGGCGTGGATGGCTTGTGCCTCTCATTCCCCAAACTGGGTTCCTTCCTCCTAGTCCTGCTTTTTCTAGCAGTCCCTCCCCATGGGATGTCCGCTGCTCATGGGCAACACAGAAGGCACTGAGAATTCTGGTGATGTCATTTTAGACTGGGGGAATTGTATTGTTTCCAGGCAACTGGAGAAGAATGAGGAAGGGACTTGTGCTGACTCAGCTCGGAGTAACTGAACACCCTGGCTTAATCAATGCATTTCTCCTGTAAATTGGCTAATGGCCGATTTTTACTTGGGCCTCTTCAAACCAAACAAGCAGTTGGGTTAAAAAATACTAGTGCAAGAAGCAAATGAAGAACCAGTGTTCTCAGGTGCAGTTGTAGACTGATAATAGCAAACAGCTCTCTCTGAAGTTAGCACAAGTGGTAGACGCTTACCACAGTCAGAAAGCCAGTTCTTGTCTCTCTGTGTTTAACACTCTTAACTTCTGGTGGCTGCTGAATAAATGTCCCTGTTCTACACTGCTCCTTCAATTAAGTGCAATTTACTACACTGTGTAATCTTCCCTCTGTACTGTTAATTGCCTGCTATCCTAAGAGGAAACTGGAATGTTATCTTACCTTATTTTTCTGTTTTCCGTGTTCTTTTCATCTCACAGCGATGCTGAGCTGCAGAATGTGGTGTTAGACTCCAGTGCTGCCATGGGGAGCAATGAACTTCAGGAGAAAGATGCCACTGGAGCCCTTGGCCACGATCTCAGCAATGGCAGCAGCAGCAATTTGGAAGCAGCCAGGCGCCTGGCTAAGCGCCTCTACCATCTGGACAGATTCAAACGCTCTGATGTGGCAAAGCATTTGGGTAAAAAGTATGTGCTGATATGAGGCCTTTGGCCACGTTACTCTCTCTGCCGGTTCTAGAAGGGTTTCACTCTCTAATGATAACCTTTATTTATTCCTTTGCTTTTTTGTAGCAATGAATTCAGCAAGCTTGTGGCCGAAGAGTACCTTAAGTTCTTTGACTTCACAGGCATGACGCTGGACTGCTCGCTCAGGTACAAGCCCGTTTGCAGACTTTATGTTCTTGTTTTAGCAACAGTGCTGTTGGCACCGTTGTCCTGATTGGAGTGGTTGTCCTGTGGGGACTTGAGAGAGTGCAGAGAGGGATGTGATGCATTTTTGGGACAGAGCTTTTCTCTTCAGTTTGTCTTGGTGTGCTGCCATACTCGGGTGCTACTGAAATGGCGTCATTTCCTGGAGAGGGAAGTCTTTGGGTGGACCTGCTGAGAGATGGTCCTTGATCAGAAGAGATGGAAAAAAGTGACCAGTCACACAGTAAGCAGGGGAGTTCTGGTCTGCCACGTACTGCTGGAGAATTAGGGTGTTGCTCACAGCTGATCTGTACAGACTTTCTGGCTGATGCATTTTGGAGCTTGCTCTGCCTGGCTTCAGTGTACTAAATTTAGGCAGGGTTTGATGTGGCTCAGCAGCCCCCCTCTCTATGTCTCCCTGAGGCAGAACAGCAAAAGCTTCCACGTGGAAAATGCTGTTGAGAGTTTGGTAGCTGCCAGCATGAGTGTTTGAAAACCCAGCCCTTCAATTTTCCTTCCTTTTTATGCTGGAATCAAGCCTCAACAATGTTTGTTTTCAGTACTTTTTTTCTCAGAAGGCAAAACATCAATTTTGTGTAGCAGTGGCCTGTTAGCACAGTTGCTGTGTCCCGGTGTTTAAAGGGATTTAAAATGAGTTTAAATCGTCTGGCTGAGGTTACTTAAATGGGATATTGCTTTTTTCTATTGATAACAAATCTAGGAGCTGTGCATGCACTTCTCAGTCCCTTTGCAAGTGCATTTCCAGGGGTTACTGGTGCCATGAGAGCGTGGCAGACCCCATGAGCAAGGAAACCCCAGAGTCCTGCCTGCTGAAGGCAGTGGAAATGAAACATGCCTGCATAATCATGAACTGCCTGCTCCCAAGGCAGGCAGAGCAGAGCCAGGCTGGAGCACCCGCGCAGCACAGGGTGCTTGCTGCTGCAGCAGTGGGAGGTCTGCTGCTCCTTCCAGGTTTTAGCAGCCCTGAAGCATGATGCTAAATATACCCTCCTTCTAAATTGTGAAACCCAACACCTAATTGCTTTGTGGCCCGTATTTAGGAGGTTTCTGCTCCCAGTAGGTCTCCTGTTAATATTAATAGTCATGACCTTCTCTAAAATATGCCCAGGCTCGTGTGGGACTTAAACAAGCCAGGGTTTTTCTAAGGTTTCAGGAGTAGCTGCAGCAGTTGCCAGCTACTGTTGCCCTGAGCGTGCAGCAGCAGCCAGGGACAGGGCATCTCCCAAAGCCTGGGGAAATAGAGGTGTGCTGCCTTGCACTTTGCAGAGAGTGAAAGGTAACAGCCCTGTTGCTGCTGGCTCACTGACAAGCTGTGGTTTGCTGAGCATTTTGGAGCCCTTGGCAGCCACCCAGACCCATTCTACCCCCAGGCTATGGGAGGCTGTTGTGCAGCCTCAGTGACAAGTCTGAGACTTGGGAAGGGTTGTTCCTTCATTGTCGTGCTCTGCTTCCACACTCTGGACCCACATTGCCCAGGCGTCTCCAGTGTGCACCTCTGTCATCCTCTGCAGGAGGGGAGGAGGTGGAGAGACTGCTCCAGCCCCTCTCAGAGTTCGTTTTGGAGTCCAAGCCTGGACATGGGGAGAGCAGACTTCAGGCTACTCAGGCAACTAGTTAGTAAGGTCCCCTGGGAAAATGCTTTTGCAAGTGCTGGGGTCCATCAGGGCTGGTCACTTTTTAAGCACCACGTCCTATGGGCACAGGAGAAGGCAAATCCAAAATGTCTGAAGTCAAGCAGATGAAGCAGAAGGTCGCCTTGGATGACCAGGGATCTTCTGGAGCTAAGGCAAAAAAAAGAAGGTGTATGCCCAGTGAAAGCAAGGTCAGGTGACATAGGGGGAATACTGAGATGCTGCTTGCCACTGTAGGGAGAAAATTCGTGAGGACAAAGCTCAGTTGGAGTTGAAGGTGGCCAGTACTGTGGAGGACAATCAAAAGAGTTTTTTAAAATAAACCAGTAGAAAAAGGCAGTGCAGAAATCTCGTTGGCCTGTTACAGGATGAAGATGGTCATCTCAGAAAGAGGGACATAGACAAGGCAGAGATGTTTAATGCTTTCTTTGCCTCTGTCTTCAACACCAGTTATAGGCTCAGTGGGTCACAGTGCTCTGAGCTGGAGGACCATGGCTGTGAGAATGCTAAATTCCCAGTTGACCCTGAAGTTATGTGGGATCTGCTGCTCCAGCTGGATCCCTGTAAGTCTATGGTGCCTGGTGGGATTTATCCAAAAATACTCAAAGAGCTAGCTGATGTCATCATGAGGCCTCCCTCGATGATTTTTGAATGGTCTTGGGAATCTGGGGAGGTCCCAGTTGACTGTAAGCTGGACAATGTTCAAGAAGGGCAAGAAGGATGACCCTGGAAACCACAGGCCTGTCAGTCTCACTTCAGTGACTGGTAAACCCTTCCTGGGTACTGCAGAAATTAAGCCTGTCCTAGATGGAACCAGGACATTATCCACTCCTTATTCTATACTATCTATGTCATGCCCAGGTCCTAAACCTTCCAAATATGTATATATAAACATGAGCACAGGTATCATTACCCTAGTCAATGACTGTCACTCCAAAATGTCTGTTGAGTTCATTTAGTCCATGACTGTGGGTTCTATCCATACTAGATATCTTCCAGGGCAGGAGGGCTGCTGTCTGTTGTCTGGTTGCAAGATGCATCAGGAGCTCATGACTGATGTCATGGACTGGAGGAGTCCATACTCATTATCCATGGTGGTTATGGCATACAGTGGCAGTGTCATTCAGCAACCAGTATCATACAATTCAACATTACAGGCTGTTCTCACCCAAAAGTTAAATCCCCTTGAGGTACACGTGTTTCCCCTTCCCTCTGCCTTACCCAACAAGTACACTGAAGTCCTTGAGCAGAAACCACCCCAGGTTTGCCTTTGCTTGAGGCAGAACTAATCCAAAGTGTCTTCCCTAACACAGACCTCGTATGCACCACATAAACTTTATCCACTTCTATGCTGCATGGAGGTTTTGATGGGGCAGGACCAGCTTGATTGGCAGGGCCTCTTTTATTAAATAACCAGCAGGCCTCTGCTAAATGTAGGTCCCAATGTTGGAAAGTTCCACCACCCGTTGTTTTAAATGTGGTTTTTAACAGTCCATTGTACTGTTCAGTTTTCCCAGAGGCTGGTGTTTGATAGGGAGTATGATATACCTGCTCAGTACTGTGCTCTCTGTCTCAGGTATCTGTGAGGCTGTTTTTGAAATGATGTGTGGAAGGGACTTTCCCTTTGAACATCCAGCCCAGCATGGGAATTTGGGATGTCAGGAGGAGCTGTGCTTCGGTGCCAGTCCCTCCTGAAGCAGCTTGAACCCCTTTGTAAGCTGCCAGAATCTCTTTTTCAATTGGAGTGTAGTAACTCTCGGATCCTTTGTATCCCCAACTTCAGAACCCCAGGGGTCATCCTCAGGTCTCCCCAGGTGCTTTTTGCGAGAGACTCCAGGAAGGACCATTCTTCCCAGCTGCAGTGTAGAGCCCATTTTTCACGTCTTGTCCTGTCCTGACTGGCCCAAGGGCTACTGCAGGAACAATTTGTTCAAAACCATGTTGTTGTTCAGGACCTCACTTAAAATCATTCTTCTTCAAGGTCTCTTGATAGAGACAATCATGACTGTAATCTGGAATATGCATTCTCAAAAACCCGCAGTGCCTAGGAGAGCTTGTGTTTCCTTTTTGCTGGTTGGTGGGGACATAGCTGCTATTTGGTTGATCATGTCCATTGGAATCTCACAATGTCCATCTTGCCATTCTGCTACTAAAAACTGAATTTTCTGGGCCAGTCCCTTGACCTTACTTTGCCATATTGTATGACTGGCACTGAGGAGAATTTGGATTTTCTTCTCCCTTTTCCCAAAAACATCCCCTGCTGTGTTGCCCCACATGGTGATGTCAACATGGTGGTGCCCCACCCTTTTCCAGTGCAGTCTGGATCAGCAAATGGCAAAAGTGGGGCTGTGTTTCCAACCCTGGGACAGTTGGTTCCAGGTGTACTGGACATCCCTGCAGGTGAAAGCAAACTGTGGCCTGCACTCTGCTGCCAAAGCAATGGAAAAGAAGGCATTGACAATGTCAGTGGTGACATACCACTCTGCTGCCTTGGACTCCAGCTTGTACTGAAGTTCCAGGGTGTCTGGCACAGCAGCACTTGGGGTGGTGTGACTTCGTTCAGGCCATAATAATCTACTGTCTCTGCTCGCCATTCGATTTATGCACTGGCTGTATAGGACTGTTAAAGGGTCAGTGAGTCTTGCTAACCACTCCCTGGCTCTCCACTTTAGGAATTGTCTCATGGATGGGGGTCACGGAGTCCCACTTGGTGCAGTGTTGTTGACAGTGCACTGTTGTGGTAGCCATGAGTACCTGTTGCTCTTCAACCATCAGCAATCCCGCACCAGAAAGGTTCTCTGAGAGACCAAACAGGGTATTCAGCTGTCTAATTTCTGTGTCTCCACAGCAGCTCTCCCAAAGCCCAGTGATACCCTTTTGGGTCCTTGAAATACCCTCTCCTGAAGTAATCTGTGCCAAGATGCACAGGATGTCTGAGCCAGTCACAAAGGGGGGGGGGTTTGCCATTTGTTCCCAGTCAGGCTCACTTCAGCTTCCAGTACAGTCAGCTGTTGGGATCCCACTGTCACCACAGAAATAGAGGTAAATTTTGCCTCGACATATCTCCATGGGATCAGGATACATTGTGTGCTGGTGTCAACTAAAACCTTATATGCTTCTGGGTCTGATGTACCAGGCCATTGGATCCACATGGTCCAATAGATGCACCTGTCCCTTTCCTCCCTGTCCCTGGCTGGAGGCAGGACCCCTCTACTTCTGGTCATAGTACTCGTTTCTCACTTGCAAATATGAACTGGATGTCCCTTCTAGAGGATTGGAAGCCCTTCAGTTAAAAATTGATCCTGCCCTGGCTGGAACTGGGACAGGAGCACAAGGTGGGAGGGACAGAGAAGCCCTGTGGAGACTCACTTATATCTACTTGTGAATTGGGTTATTTGCAGTACATTACATGTGAAATTAAGTTATTGCCAGGCAGATCACACTCTTTATGGATGTGAGATTGTTGCAAATACGGCCTGTCTCTGGCCTTTACATCAAAGAGAAAAAAATTAAAGTTTATGCGTCAAGACTGGGTAGATGTGAATGTTCCAGCAACATGCCTCTCAGATTTGGTCTTATTTTCAGTCTTGTGGGATATTAAAAAATTGTCTGTTAGGCAGTCATTCTGTATGCTGTCTTACTTCAGACCTAGAAGGTTTGTGTTTTCAGGCTTTTCCTAGAAGCATCCTGACAAACGAATGCAGAAGGTCATCTTTGGCTGTGAGGCACGTTTTTCCAGCAGGAAGGATAGCAACACGGTTAAGAGGAGGGGTGTTCAAGTGTCGCAGTGAAAGTGAAAGATGTGTGTGTCCCCCACCTCTCTGCTCAGTGGCTGTAATGAGTGTGCCCCGTGTGTGCACCAGCCCTGCACCCTTGACTGCCATGAGCAAGAACTCAGGAGGGCCAGGTTACTCCTCCTGCTGAGTGGGAGATGTTGCAGATCTTCTACCCTCTGCACTCTTCCCCGGATACCTTCTGCAGGTCAGGTAGTCGCACTGCCCCCTGCAAGGTGACTGGTGTGGTCCTGGCCACTCTGACAGGAGACCCTCTGGAAGGAGGAGCACACGTTTGGTGTGAGGTCTGAGTCTGCTGTGCTTGCCTTCACCACCTGGAGTAGCTCCTCTGATTTGGAGGGGAATACTAATGAGTGTAAAGTTAAGAGATGCAGGGGTGACAGGCAATTGGAAGAGGACAGAGAACATCCTGGATGTCTGTCTTGCATAAACAACACCTGCTCCAGTTCCTTCCCCAAACAGAAGAAAAACATTAAAAATAACAAGAACTCTTTCAAATGATGGAATTACATATTATTTTGTATATTCCGTGGCTGAGATCAGTGGTAATTTAACTTTCATTTCATTTACTATAATGCTGGAATTAACTGCACACGGAATGATAGCCCATTTTCCTAGAAAGGCTCCTTGGATCTTAATGTCTGATGTATGCTTACGTACTTCTAGCTGTGAAGTGTACTTTTCTCTGTGCACTGTGTGAAGCAAAAAAGAGATTTATTACTTTAATTTCACTTTTCTTTTTTTTTCCGCTTGCTCTTTTAGGAGTTTCTTTAAAGCCTTTTCACTTATTGGAGAAACTCAGGAAAGAGAGAGAGTTTTAATCCACTTCTCTAGCCGATATTACCAGTGCAACCCAAACACCATTTCTTCTCAAGGTAACTATGTTTCTAATACTGTGGTCTTTGGTTGTCTCCCTCTTCCTTCATTCTCACCTTCAACAGCATGTGGGGCGTATGCCTGGCAGCTGAGGCTGGGTAGTTGCCATGACACACTTTAGAAACTCCCTGTGGTGAGCATTGAAACCCTCCACGTTCTCCACACATAGTTGTGGAAAATCTGTATTTATCCCCAGCAGGAAAGATGTTTAGGCCTCCTCAGTATAAATTCTCAGTTGTAGCTTCTCATATTTGAACGTCCTCCATTGTAGTTCCTGGTCTCACTGACTTCAGTCTGTGGGGATGCTTGTACTCTTCCTGCACACACGTGAACAAGAGTAGATTCCATCTCAGGTGGAAGAGAAAGTCTTTTCTTTCCGTACTCCATTCACTGCTTGTGTGTCTGCATGCACTGGCAGCAGGCATGCCAGTTCTTGCCAGTTGTGGGGGTGAATTTTGGGTGCTGTATCCAGACCCTGGCATGGTTTTATCTTGACTAGCTAACATCAGTCAGAGTGCTTCCTCCTTGCCAATGTTTTCAGTCATTTTGGAAATGAATGAGGAAAACAAACAAGCACACAGACCAAACCTGAGAAAACTGGCATTGGAGAAGAGGACAAACTGTCCATTGGTGTAGCTGCTGTGTTCAGCCAGCCACGCTGGCAGAGCCACATGGCCCTGTGATTGCAGCATGGGCTGGTCACACACTGAGGGGGGAGGATGAAAAGGAAATCAAGCATGGGTTAAGCTGTACCTTTAGTCTCAAGTGTGAGTGAGAAAGAACTGCTACACTTGGAAGTACTGCTGTGCTTCCTTACCCCTTGCTTTGTGACCTGCCCCTGTTGCAGTGAGGTGATTTTTGTCCACTTTGTGCCTGTTCAGCTTTACTGTCTAACATACTGGGAAGGGGAAGAGTTAGAAGTAAGACAGGATCTGCTCCTATGCTATCTGTGTCCTCTGCCTATTGCCTTTTTAGTTTCAAGGCACTGTAGGCAGTCAGGTAGAATGGGTGCAGCATGGCCAGACTGAAATAATGACTTGCCTGTTGATGGGTCAGCCTTACTCTAGCCCAGGGTGCGAGAGGGAAATTGTCACTTCTGAGCCTGAGTAAGCATTTAGATCAAAGGGAGTCCTGCACACTTTGCCCACGATCTTAGCACTGTGTGCAGTTTTGGGCACCACAATATAAGAAAGATATAAAGCTATCGGAAAGTATTCAGAAAAGGAATACAAAGGTAGTGAAGGGTCTAGAGGGAGAGCCCATAGGAGAAGCAGTGGGGTTACTTAGTTTGCTCAGCCTGGAGAAGAGGAGACTGAGGAGAGACCTCATCTCAGTCTACAACTTCCTCTCAAGGGGAAGAACAGGGGCAGGCGCAGATCTCTCTGGTCACCAGTGACAGAACCCGAGGGAATGGTATGAAGCTGTGCCCAGGGGAGGTTTAGGTTAGGAAAAAGATTTTCATCCAGAGGGTGGTTGGGCTCTGGAACAGGCTCCCTAGGGAAGTGGTCACATCACCAAGCTTGTCTGTGTTCAAAAAGTGTTTGGACAATGCTCTCACATGGTGTGACTCTTGGGGATGATCCTGTGCAGGGCCAGGAGTTGGACTCAGTGACCCTTGTGGGTCTCTTCCAACTCTATTCTGCGGTTCTATGAATCCGTCTCTTCTGGTTCATGGCTTGGCCACCGGACCACCTTAGAGACCCCTGGAGTGGTCTCTACCCAAGAAAGAGCCAAGGCACCATAAATAGGTGACTGAAGTTCTCCAGAATTCATTCTAATTGAGCCCTGAATGAGGAGGGAACCAGAAAAGGAGGAAAACATGATACCATGCTAAATACAGTCTGCACACAAGAATGGATGTATTTTACTCTTTCCTTTCTGATCTGAATTAAATGAAGAAGAAGGTGTTGATTCAGACTGTGGTGTTGGTATTAATAAGCAAAGGGTGACAGCGTGGTCACCTGTCTAGTTTCCTGTCTAGTTTGCCTCATCCGTGGGTGCTGAAAGATAGTTTTGACAGTTACTTAAAGATGAAAGAAAGACTGTTCTAGTTTGGCAGCTGTGTGATGACCTCATTGTTCATTTATTTAATTATGTGTGTTTCTTGATAAAACAGATTCTTATAAAGGGAACAGATGCAATTAGGCTATGAGACTCGTTTTCAGCTCCTCTTAAAGGTCCAGTTTTGGGGTTGCATGTGACTCTTGTTTTGTCTCTTCCTGCAGATGGAGTTCACTGTCTCACCTGTGCCATGATGCTGCTGAACACAGACCTGCATGGCCATGTGAGTATGCACGGTTTTGTGTAGACTGCTCCTATCAACACCGTGCTGGGTGGTGGCCTGCTCCTAAAGCCCCTGCAGGCAGCAGACAGTGAGAAGGCTGCACTCCAAGGCCGTTGTCCTGGGCAGGCCTTTCCATTATACCTTTCCAGTCATGTGTAAGCTGGCATTGTGCCTGGCTTTGCCATAATGTGTGAGGATACTCTGTGTCCTCAGGCCCGTCTTCCTGGTGTGCTTACCATTCTTCTGTGGTTACAGCAACTGGCCCTGACCAGGAAGCTGTGGATGGGATTGACTTCCCCTTTACAGTATGTAAAGACATGTGAGAAGGCAGAAGAAAGAGGGGAGGTGCAGAAGTTTTAGGAAGGTCACAAAGGGAAGGTGCTGTTTGCAGGCAGACAGTTGCAGGGGGCAGATCTGGTGAAACCAGAGTTTTGCACAGCCATACTAATGATCGGTGTGCACAGAGCCAAGAGAGTGGAGGGTGGATATGGGCATGCTGAGTGGGAGCCCTCTGTTCCCCCGTGGCACACTTCTCCCCACTGCCTGCCTGGGGGAAATAGTATTCTGGTTTGAGTCCTCTTAGTCACACTGATGCAGGGTGCCAGCAGCCCTAGGAGGAGTATTTCAGCACCCATGATGCAATATGCCTGCTATGTATGGTATTCCCATACTGATGGGAGGCTTTCTCTACCCTGGAGTTAGGGTGGAGAGGGGAAAACACAGGGATCATGGCATAATAGCATGCAGGATCATTGTCTTCAGCCAGGTGGTTCTGGGGCTTCTCTGTGGCTGAGACCCTTTGCTGCACTTCCAAGAGCAATTCCAGGAGTGTGTCTGTTGGAAACTTAGACAGCAAGGATGGTGAGTTGGGCAACAGGAGACAGAGACAACCTAGGTCTGTCACCAAGGGCTGTTCAGCCCCTGTGGGTGCAGCTCTGTGGTGGGTGCAGGTGATGGAACCAAGGCTTGTGTATTCTTTGGCAGGAGTTTTGAAGCCCACCTGCTGTTCATTGAATGCCTTTGTCTGAATATTGTAGAAAGCAGAAGGGAGAAGGGAGCTGTGAAGAATTTTTTCCCTGACGGTTTAGCCTTCCCCGATTGAGGAGTGCATCAGTGACGTGTGAGGGTGAGCAGGGGTACAGCAGCGTGCCCCAGTTTGCCTCTTAGCACACATAACTTCTGTTGAGCACAGCTGAGATGTCACGCACAGGTATCCTGCTCCCCAGAGCAATGAACACCCTGGGGTTCCTGCTCTCCAGCCTCTCTGGCCTCACAGTCCATGGAGGGAGAACAAATGCTCATGCATCAGCCTGGCACCAATTCCTGTTGCTCCCTGCAATTCTTTAGTGGGCTCTACTGTCTTCATTAGGTGCTGGAGTAAATAAATAAATAAATAATCCAGCCATGACCCATCATTGCTGCTGCTGATTTGCAGCTGAAACCTGGCTGCTTGTTGCAGTGTGTCACTTTGGAGGTTTACCCCACTGGCAGTTGATAGTGTGTTTTTACATATATGCAGCTGTAGTGTTTGCCAGAGTCCTACTTGTGCTTTGTCATGTGTGTGTCATCATGTTCCCTCCGAGCCCTCTGATTTCCTGTAATTTTGATCTTCCTCTTGCTGCTTTGCATTTTTCCACATAGGTGGTAAGTTTGGTGTTTTTGACTCGGAATGCAGCCCTTGCAGATATGCCTAATTGCCTATTTCCTAACAGAGATAATGGTCTGCCCCATCCTTACCAGGAATTCGCTGGAGCAGGAAGCAAATGAGTCACTGGGTTTGTCTACACTGAGCTCCATTTGTTACTGACTTACTGATCATAAGTGCAGACACTTATTTCACAATAAGCTCAACTGCTTGTGGGGCTGTGGTGCTGCTGCTCTGCTCAGTTCACACTTCCTTTATGCTCTTGTAGACAAACTCTTACTTATCCCTCTATTTTCCGTGTCTTGTCACATTTCATTCTCTTCATAACTTAATAATTTTGGCTAGCTGGGTCTTGGAGATGCACGCTTGCTCCTCTGCACAGAGGTAATCACCCAGGTGGGAGCTAGAGACTCTTAAGGTATCTCTAAACACCAGGCACATCTTGTGGAACCTCTGTGGCACTGTGCAGAGATGTTAGCTTTGGTCCTGGACCAAAACAGCCATTTGTCTGCAGTGCCACATTGCTGTTGGGAATCTGCTGAATCTGCTGTTCACTGTGGGGAAGCTGCAAAATGCTGCATGGAGGAAAGAAACAGGAGCAGGCTGAAGTCTCAGTGAGAAGGGAAAGCATTTGCAAGTCTACTAGACCATCTCCAGCCTGCACCTGAGGACTGCAGTTGTGAGCTGCATTCTGCAATCTTAGCAACCGGAGACCCAGAGTTACAGCCAGACTGTGTTGTCAGGAGCCTTCTTGTTGTGTGTAGAAAACTGTGCATTGTTCTGGTATTATTGCTTGCCTTCTTTCTGTGGGTCTGTGCTGGCCACAGGCTGTGGGATTTTCTTTTCTGGGTAGCTGAGGCTGATGGTCAGGATTTGGTGGTTTTCCATCTCTCCCTAATCCAACATTATGAAAGGGAAGCAGAGGATGTGCAGCTATCATGTAACTGTAACAATAAATGACTTGTTTTACCAACTGGTGCTCTCCTTTGGGCTTCACTCGTGTATTAGTTTGGGCTCTTGCTTCTAGCCCAAGACACTGTCTTTGCACAAAGCTCTTCTGCTGTATTTCTGCAGACAAAGCATACCCTGACCATGGAGAAGTCATCTTCACCCCTTTCTCTTGACTGGCAGAGTACCATCCCCAGAGATACCATGATCATCACAGAGCCCTGTTTTTCCTCTGCCTTTACCATGTTTCACAGCTCACTTCAGGCTGCTTTCCTTTTCTCAGATCTCTTTTGTTTTCCTTTTCATCAGTGCAGTGTTGTCATTGCTGCCCACGCACAAGGCTCCCCACATGCTAAGCATGGAACTTCTAGCACGCGGGGGACTGAGTACAGACACTTTCTCTGAAGGGTAATGGAGACTGGGATTCAAGAGCAGTCAGAGCAGCCTCAAGCCTCTGTATGGAACAGTTGGGATCCTACATGAACATAGCTGTTCCTTTGCCATTTGTGGCTCAGTTGGACAACTCTGAGTCTGAGAATAAGAGAAGAGAGAACAGAGAAGAGAGAAATGAGAACAGTCTTATGGAAATGTCAAGGCAGCCTCAGCCTTTTAATCAGAAGAGGTAATGGCTGCTTCTGGGCATCGTACTGCAACTCAGGGCAGTTGATACTTGAAGGGAGCATTGGAAATTGTAAGAGAAAGGTCCAGAAGGGGCCTCAGTCAGCTGTTCCCTTGTGCCCCACAGCAGATTCAGGTAGAGCTTTTCCATCAGAGGCTGGTAGAGCGTTTTGAGATGTGGATGTAAGGCACCATGGAGATACTAGAGAGCTTCATCATTGCCCTCTTCATTACCCCCAGTATTAAGTTGTTTTTCTTTTTGGGTGGGTGTGTGGGCCCTTGGGTGCAAAAGCACCTTCCATTTTCTAGCTATATGCATACAAGGATACTTGTCTCTGAGTAATCTCGTGAATGCTTTCTTAGTGCTGCCTGCCTTGGGCTTAAAATGAGAGCAGGGAGATGCATTTAATCTGATGTTGCTCACTCATGTCATTTTGGAAAGCAGCAGGAATATGATGCTATGTTTCTCTGACATCCCTTCCAGAACATTGGGAAAAAGATGACCTGCCAAGAGTTCGTTGCTAACCTTCAAGGGATGAACGATGGCAAAGACTTCCCGAAAGGACTGTTGAAGGTAAGGAATTAACTGCAGGACGTGGGTTTCGTTTTTACTGAGAGAAGCTTCAAAACGGAACACCGTGTCTTGCATTTCCTGAATCTTAATTGTCAGACGTGACAAGCAATGGGCACGTTTCTCCTCCCAGAACATACATAATATATACAGTGTTTATTCTGTTGTTTTCCCTCTTGCCTTCACTTGATAGTGATTGAGATTCTCTGCAGCACAGAGAGGCGAGGCTGAACTCCAGCCGGGCTGGCTCCAGAGCTGTGTGCCTTGTGAAGTCCTGTGCCCATGCCAACCCGCAGCGCTGTCTCCTGATTACACTGGGCAGAAGCAGCCAGTTGGTTTTGACTTTGAATACTTAAGAGCTAATCTTGATCTCTGTGTATCTGGAGGGCATGTGTGTTTTTTCATCAAAGGTGCTTTGGGGTTTTCACATTAGAACTGGAGATGTAATTTCAGATTATAATGTGCTGTCTGGCACAGGCTGCTTTGCTTCGCGTTTTGTTCATTAAGTTTGTGCCAGGAGTTAAATATGAAGAACAGGGAAGAAGGCTGAGCAGGACAAATCTTGTTTCATTGTCAATAATAATGAGAATGTTTCACTTCTTTTTTGTCTGATTGCTGGCATGAAACAGCAGTCTGTTTGAATAAAGGCAGGTGCGCATACACTAGAGTTCTTAATTTTATTTTATTGTGATGGAAATAAAAATAAGAGGCTGCTGCATCTGAGAGCTGACCCAAAGCCTACTGAAATAAATCAAAAGAGTTGCTATTTCTTCTGTGGGTTTTGTGTCAGGCCCATTGTGAAATACAGATGTACCTGCATGGTTACAAGTGGCAGACTTTGTTTTCTCGTATTGGTGGTTTCTTCGGTTTCTCCAGCCTCTTCAGGGAGCTTTTTGTTGGGCCCTCCTGCCTGAGATCTTACTAAGTAGTGAGGAATATAAACTCAACACCCCTTTATTTTAGATTTAACGTCTGTGATTTTTAAATCTTGATACAGTGTCAGCAGCAACACTTGAATTTATTTTTCCCGCAAGGAGTCTCATTTCTCAGTTTGCCATAGAGGGATGTGTTGAGATTAATTTGCAGGCTAATTACAGCCCTTATTGAATAAGTAGATCTCCAAATTGTGTTTAAATAACCTTCTGAGTGCACTGATGAGAGACTTCTACTGGTGTTCACCTGCTGTTTGTTTTCCTGCTGACAGAATTATGCAGCTGGGGGTGTACCTTGGTGTTTAGTGCTCACCTGCTAATGCTGAGTCTGCCTGGCTCTTCTCTGGGCTGTCCAAAGCAAGGATCAGGGGTCAGGATTTTTTAGATGTAGACAGATAGAAAAAGTTCAGTGTCAATGTCCCACTTTACATGGGGCTTTCTGCCCTTTTTTATGTGCTGCCTTGATGTCTTGAGGACATAGGTGAATCCCAGCCTTGGTCTCTCATCTGGCTTGTCTGAAGATTGGCTGCTGAACTGACCCTTGTTTTTAATTTATCAGTGGAGTGAGTGGTAGTAATTGTGCGTTTCAGTACCTCCTGTGTCCACAGCAGCCACCCTGCCACTACAAGTGTGATTACAAAGACTTATCAGAAATTAATTTTGCATTAGTCTCAATAAATTAAATTCACAGAGCTCTGCTTCAGCACAGCACCAAAGTGCATTTGGCTTGCTGCTGCATTAGCAGTGTAGCTAATGGGCTTTGGTGAGGCTGCAAGCCATCTTCCTGCGTCCTTCCCCAGCTGCCTGTGAGAGGAGGAACAGTTTCCACAGGGTGGCAGTGTGTCCCTGTGGGAGTGAGGTCCACAGCACCCACGGGTGAGTAATGCGGACCCATGGGGAAGCAAGTGGGCTTTTCTGCCTCTCCAGTCTCTCTCTGTTCTCCTTGTAGCTCTGCTGCACTGCTCTGTGAAGCTCTGCAGCTCTGCTGAGTCCCGGAGCAAAGCTGAACAATGCTGGAGGGGAAAGAAGACCAGGGAGAGCGGAGTGTTCATCCAGGGCTCGTGAAGCTCCGTGCAGCATTTACTGTGGATCCGGTTCACAGTGTTAGGGGGGCAAATACTGCTTGGGCTATCCAGGACAGTCGACTGACAGGCATTGATCAAACATTGTCTTCAGTCAGTCCCTTCACCCGTGGTGCTGCTGAGTGCAGAGTGTGGCCCTGAGTGTTTTGTCTGGATAGGAAAATAACCCATCAAGGGGCAGACATCAGCATCTGAGGAGTGACACACTTCTTTGCTATCAGCCTCAGAAAACTCGGGACATCAAATCCAATTGCTCCTTTCTTTACACTTCTCTGAGGGAGCCATCTTTTTGTTTTGTTAAGTTTTTTCCCAACGATGAGAACATTTTTGGTAAACACCACAAGGCCTTCATGCCCTGATTCTCAGTGTGTTGCTGTCAGAGAACAGATATTTTACTCTGGTTAGAGATAGAAATGAGAAATGCTAATATGATCTTGCTCACCTTGTGTCTTGCTGTCTGTTCATTAACACTGAAAAAGGTTCTGCTTTCATACACCCATCTGCTCAAAGATTCATTGCCTTTTCTTTTTCCTCGTTCCTTTAGTGAGATCTGAGGTTGCTTTTAAAGTTGGGACCCATAAAGACAAATGTGCCAAACTGTGATTAAAAGCATTATTCTCCCCATGGGATCTGCTTTCAGTATTCATATATTCAGTACTTTACCAGGCAAGCAGATATATATGTACCTTGCCTTTTACTTCAACTTAGCTCCAGTTTGACTGTCCATCAGACATCCCATTTATTTGCCATCAGCTGCTAGTAAAGATTGGACTTGGAGACAGTAGCCTGATTTCCATTTGTGTACTGACAGTGCATTCTGACCAGAGAGTGATAGTTTATTCTTAACTTCAGGGTTCCTGTATGCCTTCAAACTGGAACAAATTCCTTGTAAATGAGAACCACCTTCCCAAGCTGAGATTTTTCTCTCTAGTGTAAATCAGGATCATCTATCTCTGTGGGTCTGGCTGACGTAGAAGGTGAGTCAGGACTGCCTTAAATCAGGCAGACTAAGGTTATTGAAAGTTAATTTTTTCAAAAGCAGGAAGACTTCTTGAAACTCCCATCCTTTGAGCTGTCACAGTCCAAGCATGCAAATAATTTTATGTTGTGCCAAGCTGTTATCAGGCAAGGTAATCCTAAATTTCAGCCTTGATCTTATACTGTAGCAAAGGTTGTTTTGTTCAGGCGAGTTGAGGCGTTGGAAGGAGTGCTAAATACTAAGAGTTGTGACCACTGTGTGTTCTTGCTGGTGCTGCAGTACTGTGCTCTGGAGTGGCTCAGTGCTTGATCCTAAGGCTGTTAATGAATCACATAGTTACCAGCATTCACAAGTGGGGATGAGTGACAGGTCTACAGGGACTTGAGTGAGACAAAGAGACCCAGCTGCAACTCTCATCTCCTAGGAGTGGAGTTACCCAACATCCCAGATTAGCTGCTGCAGAGGTAAGGAGCAGAAGGAGCACCACCATGAATGAGAGAGCTGAACAGTTTAACAGCAGAAACAGTTAAAACAACTAAGTTCAACCTAAGGGAGTCATGATCAGACCATTGTTCTCTTATTGCTGTAGAAAGGGAAGCCATGACTAGGGTCTCCCTACTTGGAAAATAACAAAATCAGTCTGACAGTTTGGCAATGTCAAGAACCTCATGATTACAGCGTAGGAGTGGTTCCTTTCTCACATGTTCATACCAGTTTTAATCTGGTATAGTGACACTCTATAGTGACACCACAGCCTTCTTTAAAGCTGGTCTTCACAAGATTTTCTGGAATGAGAAGGAGATTGGCTTGGAAAGAGCCTACTTTTGGCCGTGCATGGTTGCTTCACTTCCTACCAGCACTGTGGTCCCCACAAATAAAGTGCCAGTACTGTGCTGGCCATCGTGTCTTCAGCTTGTCACCTTGTGGCAAGGTGTGTGGGAGTCCACTCCGTCAAGGTGGCAGTGACAAGGCCTTTCATATGCAAGGAGAGAAAATGCTGTGGTCCAGAGAGCCTGCAAGGAGTCTCCTCTGAGGAAATGGGTCCCTGCTTTTGTTAGGCAGTGTCCTGGGAGAGCTGTTCTGTCGTCAGGCTGTGTGCAAAGTACCACCTGTCCTGCATGAGTAAATATCCTCTGCATTTACAGTGTCCAGGGTACCTTGTTCATGGAATCAGGGGCATCACCCAGGCTCTGTCACGGGGCTGACTCTGGTGGCTGTGCTGCCCTGGGACACGGGCACTGGTCGTGAGGGGGTCAGACCTGGCTGTGTGTCTTCTGGTAGGAGGTGGTAGCTTTTCATTGACCCGTTGTACTGCCTGGGAACCTCCATCACGCTGAGGCACCTGGTATGCCCTGCAGGGACTTGGCTAGCATCATCCTGGCAGGGGCTTCTGATGGTTAAAAGATCTGCTTTTTCTCAAAGGCTGTTTTTTGGATAGACCTTATCTCCTGCAGAAGCACTGTAATGAAGTGACCAAATTAACTTAAGAGTTGCTGGTGCTGAACTCTCCAGTCCTCCTTAATTTCCTAAATGATCTGAGTTCTTGATCAGGATTCCTGGGATATGCAATTTCCTGTAGAAGCTGCAAGGTAGGGTTTATCTAATTTTGCTGTCAATTCCCTGCACTTTAATTAAGGATTTTATTTTTTTCTCTGCCACTGTCTTTCTGCCTCCTCTCTCTCTCTTTTTTTTTTAAATCCCCTTTAAAAGCCCTCCAAAACGAACCCTGAGTGTAAAGCGAATTAGTGGCATCTTGCTTCATCCATTCCAATCATTTCAGGTATTTAGCGGAGAAAAGGGAACAAGCATCAGGTGGCTGACTCCTTCCAACACACCCCCAGCCCTTCCTTTACACAGAGGAAATCACACTAATCGGACTGCTGTGTACACCCTAATTGCTCTCATCAGCAGTCTCTGCACTCCATCCATTTCCTCTATGGCAAGAAATTCCCACTTTCCAGGGAAGCCTGATGAATTTGGGGAGACAGGAGCATGTGGCAGCATGCCAGA